TCTGGCGTGCGGTCGAGCCCAAGCGAAGGGCCCCTGCTCGGGTGGCTCCTGTTAGCGTCGTGCTTGTTTTCAATACCCCACCATTTTCATTGGGACTGCGGCGCTGTCGGGCTCGTGGGCGCCCCGGGGGGTCTCCACCTTGCCCGGCTGCTGTCCGCTCGCCGCCCGTCCTGCCTCCGGCCTTTGCAGCTGCTGTTCCCTTTCACTTTTATTCCAACCCTCTGGTCCCCGCGGCAGAGCAGCTATGGGGGCCCAGGCTCGGCCTCGGGTGCTCCCCTTGGCCACGCGGAAGGGGTGAGCCCAGCGGTGGTAACAGGCACCCCCCAGCCACGCGGAGGAAGCGGAGGTCGCCCGCAAAAGGGAGCGCCCCCGGAGAGGAAAGGCCGCGGGACCTGCTGTAAATTAAGCCAGTCCGAGCGGGGCTTCGGTGCCAGGTGAGTGGCCAGTTCGTTTCTGCTTCAGCTCATTTGGATCGAGCTTGTCCACTTGCAACCGATAAAACCCTGCGGAAGGTAGCGGAGCAGGCGCATCGGCCCTTAGTAGGCCCAGCTGCGGCTTGTTGGGCGCATCGGCCCCAGGGGGACGGGAAAGGGTCCCTCCTGCTGCTCAGTCTCACCGGCTCACTCGGGCGAGGCCGTCGAAAGTCCTGTCGAAAAATGACACAAAGATACACACGCGCAGGAATTTCAAAAACCAGGACGGTAAAGTCAACCACTGCGGGGCAAGGCAGAATGTAAGGCAAAGGATTCAACCGACTAAGACGATCGCTCGGCCCGGCCCGCGGGCTCAGCTGGGTGGGCTCCGAGCACCCGAGGCCTGCGGTTCAGTTCCCCGCAGGGCGCGTGCCCCAGTCGCAGGCTCCATTCCCGGGACCCGCGGGCAGGAGGCCGCGGCTGATGTTTCTTCCTCTCTCTCCCTCCCCCTCTCTCAAAAATCAGTAAAAACATACTTTTTTAAAAAAGATAATAATTTTCTACTTGACAAAGGACTCAGTCAGGTGCTCACTCCCGTTTATTGAGCTGGGCGCCGGGCACCGTGTGTGCGTGTTACTCGGTCGCCAAAGGCGTCCCAGTGCTGCACTTATGCATCAGATCACGCAGTTTATGAAGCCAGAAGGTTATAAGACTATACTGACAAACATAATCCTACCAACGGATTTCACGCAGCCTCGTTGGTCCCTGACTGTTGTCGCCAAAATTACATAACACCTCGCTCTGAACGACACGAGTGACAGGACTGAGCTAATCAACAGACGTGTAGGGTCTTAAATTCTACAGACAGAAAGCACGCAGTCCCCTTAAATGTCCGCAAAACGCGTGCAGGCATCGGGCACGTTCTGGCCACAATAAACGCTTTTAAAAAAGGTCTGAAAAACAAATGTACCGCAGGCCGAATTCTCTGCTCACAGTGCAGTAAATCACGAAAACAAAACTAGTGTTAAATAGGCCCGATCACCGAGTTTGGAAGTGTTCTTTAGGAAGAAGCCATGCAGTCTAACTCTGAGACGACACGAGTGGTGGAACTTTAAGACGTGGCCGAGGCTGCTCGTAGAAGCACAGGGGTAAAACTAAGAGTATCGCAGCCAGCGATTTAGTAAAAAAATACAAATGAGGCAAGGAGCCCTGGCCCCGGCGGGCTCGACACACCAAGGTTTTGGGTTTGACCCCCGGTCAGGGCACATACAGCAATCAACCGAGGATGCAGAAATAAGTGGGATGACAAATCGATGTCCCTCTCCCTCTTCATCTCTCTCTGAAAATCAATAAATTTAAAACAACAATCATCTGGACGCTCCCTTCACTGGAGGCGGGGGCGGCTTCCCAAGCGGTTTAGATGACGAACACCGTCGGCATCCCCGTTAAAACCAGGAACAGAAAGAGCCCGCACACGATCAGGAGTAAGGTGGTCTGTTTGGGGGCCCTGGGCCGCTCCACCAGGCCCTGAAACAGAAGGAGAAACGGGGTCACGGGGCTGGCGTGTGGGTGGAACGGCTGCTTCAACGAAGTGACAAGAGAAAGGCTGAAGTATCCCTTTGCCCCAGAAGCAGAAGCCTGTGAGTAAATTTCGAAGTGACACATGAAGTCTCACCATTTTTTAAAAGAATGTATCTTTATTGATTTCAGAGCGAGGAAGGGAGAGGGAGAGAGAGAGAAACATTCTGCTGTTTAGTGCCTTGTTCATGGTCTGTTTTCTCCACTAAAATTTTAGCCCCACTAGGGCTGTCTTGCTCACTGCTAGACCCCCTCGCGCCCAACAGGCGGTAGGTGCTTGTGGCACATTTTTGCTCCCAATGCCTCCAACTTGCCCCTTGCTCCTTGAGTCCACACCCTTGGGCAGCCCGCCCTCACCACGTGAGCTTGACCAGCTGTGGCGAATTTTGACCAATGGCCTGGGGACAGCTGGGTTGCAGCTCCAGCCGGAAACGGCATGTCTCCTGGTGGCGCCCTGTCCGCGGTGCTGAAACGCGCTCGCCACAGACCGGCCCGCGGCGCGGAAACGCGCTCGCCAGAAAAGAGACCTGTCCGTGGTGCTGAAGCGCATTCTTGGCAGCCCCCTGTCCGTGGTGCTGAAACAAGTCTCTAAAAAGGGCCTGTCCGCGGTGCTGGAAACCTCCCAAAGAGACCTGCCGGTGGTGCTGGGCCCTGTCTGCTGGGCTGTCCGTGGTGCTGAACCCCTTTCCCCATAGACCTGGCCATGGCGCTGAACTTCATTGGGAAACCTGTCAGAGATGCTGAATCTCTAGGCAGAATGCACAGCTCCCTCTAACGCTGACTTCTTCAAAGAACCCACCCGCCTAGGAAAACCCTGCTGTTGCCTAGAAACAAAGCTCTCTGGGCTGTGGGGAGGTTGGGATGATAGCAGGTGAGGGCAAAAACTACAGTCATTTTTAAGAGGCAGCCTTGGCTCTTAGGTTGGCAGGGCCTAGCCACTTTATTATCATGAGAATTCCTGCCAGCATGGGAGGGGGGGTTAGTCTGATCTGAGAGAGGACTGCTCTCCTGTAACTCTGAGACGGCCCAGCCTGGGGGGGGCTCTTGCCGCCTAGCTGGGTTTCTGCAGGAGGGGCCTTCCCCCACCTCTGAGCCTGAGGGTCTGGGCCCAGCCTCTGGTCTGACTATTCCCAAGCCAGGAATCCAGGGCTGGGAGGGGGCGGGTGGCCTCGTATCTGGGGCCCGCCTGCTGGGTTCCTGAGGTTCTGGTCCCCTCCCAACCCCCGCTCCGCACAAGCGTTGACGCTCATTTTGACAGGACAATCGGTACCTGTATCTTTCGCACCTGACGATTGTTTAAAATGACTTTGGTCTCCCTTAATTAAAAGTTTTATTTAAAAAAAAATTAACAGACCACTATGAGAAACTTTGGCATCCGAAGCGATTATTGTTGCTTCCAAAGGCTGAAAAAAAAATTTCCCCGTGAACAACTTGGCAACTTCTGCTTATTAGCTTGGGGCCTTCTAGCGGGTGTTGTAGGAAAACCGGGGGGTTGGAGGGGGCGAGGAAACCCACAGATGGCGACAACCTGACCTCTGCACTAGATCCAGGCGTGCGTGACAAAGTGAAAATGTCCCTTGTTTACTATGGGGGCCACCTCCCCCTCTTCCATTCCCTCCCTTCCTCCACTTTACTATGGAGGAGACGGAGACGCAGACGCTAAGTGCGTTGTCCAAGCTCTTACGACAGTTTACCCCGAGCTGGGTCAGGGGCCCTGCCGCCCGAGGTTCCTGGAGCCACAGTGAACCCGGCCACGTTCCCAGACACTAGAGCTGCAGGGACTTGCTTTCCACTGGGGCCGGCCGTGCGGATGCTCCGGAAAGCGCTCGAGCGCAGGGCGGGGCCTGTCCCCAGCGAGCAGGTTCCCAAGACCCCCCTGGGCGGGACTGGGCTCCACGGTGCGCTACCGGTGCGCTCGGACGCCAGGAGTCCCGCACAGGCTCCGGGCCGCCCGCCTGGCGTGGATTCTGAGGTCCCCCGCCGCCGGCTACGTGTGGACCCTCAGGTGCCGCGTGAGGTTGGTGTTCCGGCTGAAGGCCTTCCCGCACTCGCCGCACTCGTAGGGCTTCTCCCCCGTGTGGGTCCTCCGGTGCACGGTGAGCGAGGAGTTCTTGATGAAGGCCTTGCCGCACTGGCCGCACCGGTAGGGCTTCTCGCCGGTGTGGATGCGCTGGTGCTCGATGAGGTAGGCGCTCTGGCTGAAGGCCTTGCCGCACTGCGCGCACGCGAACGGCCTCTCGCCGCTGTGGCCCGTCTGGTGCGCGAGCAGGGACGAGCGGCCCGCGAAGTGCTTCTGGCACACGGGGCACTCGTAGGGCTTCTCGCCGGTGTGCATGCGCCGGTGCTGCGTGAGCGAGGAGTTCTTGCTGAAGGCCTTGCCGCACGCGCTGCACTCGAAGGGCTTCACGCCGATGTGGAAGCGCTGGTGCTGGATGAGGTAGGCGCTCTGGCTGAAGGCCTTGCCGCACTGGCCGCACGCGTAGGGCCGCTCGCCCGTGTGGTTCCTGCGGTGCAGCGTGAGCGACGAGCTCTTGTTGAAGGCCTTGCCGCAGTCCCCGCACGCGAACGGCTTCTCGCCCGTGTGCGTCCGCCGGTGCTCGGTCAGGTGCATGTTCTGGCTGAAGGCGCGCCCGCACACGGCGCACGCGTACGGCTTCTCCCCGGTGTGCGTGCGCTGGTGCACCACCAGGTGCATGTTCTGGCTGAAGGCCTTGCCGCAGTCCCCGCACGCGTACGGCTTCTCGCCCGTGTGGATGCGCTCGTGCTGGGCCAGGGACGAGGTCTTGCGGAAGGCCTTCCCGCACACGGCGCACGCGAACGGCTTCTCCCCGGTGTGCGTGCGCTGGTGCGCGGCCAGGTTCATGCGCTGGCTGAAGGCCTTGCCGCAGTCCCCGCAGCGGTACGGCTTCTCCCCGGTGTGCACGCGCTGGTGGATGGTGAGCGACGAGCGCTCGATGAACTGCTTCCCGCACGCGGCGCACGAGAAGGGCTTCTCCCCGCTGTGGGTCCGCTGGTGCTTCCTGAGCGAAGAGCTCCGGCCGAAAGCCTTGCCGCACTCCCCGCACGCGTGGGGCTTCTTCTCGGCGCGGAGCTCGGGGGGAGGGCGGGGGCCTGAAGTCTCCGAGTGTCTGCCGCGCCTGGCAAACGCGAGGGTCCCCGCTCCTCTCGGTCCTTCCGATCCCGGCGGGGCCGGCGCGGCGCTTCGGCGGACGAACGCCTGAGATGCACGACGTCCCG